CGGGTCGGCACTGACTTGGTGGCGGCGAGTTTGGTTTGGGGGTTGGTTCAATGAGGCAGCAAATCACAGATCCGAACAAAGGGTGTTGTGGGAGGGACCTGTGTGGTGATGAAGAAGGACACCTGCCAACCCACGCTCTGCTTCTGGGGATTTAAATACGCAAATGAGTTACCCATGAGTTCCAAGCAAACACACTGTCAATGGAAAAGGATGATTTGAGGGCAGGGGGCTCTTTAGGACTGTGCTATCTAGCAGGATCTCTATCCTCTCACCCCGTCTTCCTCATCAGACAAACCAGGTGGCGGCACACTGAGGTGGAGGGGTGGAGAGACCAGCCCCTGGGCCCCCGTTCTCTTCACCACATGGTTGTCGAGGAAAACAGGACCTCGCAGACGTTTGAGCTCCTTCTTTTAAAATGGTATATGTAAATATATTTATATGAGAGTGTGGGGAAACAGATCTACATGCATATATTCATAGGTTTAGTATTAAGGCAGCCGATGGACATTGGGCCTCCACTCAAGCACTTACTCAATGCAAGAACACGTTGTTCTATTAAATTGGCATTCCAGGATGCACACCTTCCCGACACGATTGTGAAGAAAAATGTAAACATAAGCAAAGGTGGTGAACAAAGCTGATGGTGGCTGGCTACCAAAAGATATAACGTCTGGGGTCTTAAAGGCTTGAAGACAAACAAGCAGCCATTGAGCTGAGATGCATCAAAACCCACATGGAAGAAGTACACCAGCCTGTCTGACCATGAGGTGTAGAAGGGTCCAGTTATCAGACATCAAAGAACTAAAAATCAGATCAGTGGGTGCCCACCTTCCTGATATGATCACTGAAGACAAATGTGTACATAAGCAAATGTGGTGAAGAGAGCTAATGGTGCCTGGCTATCAAAATATATGGCATCTGGGGTCTTAAGGGCTTGAAGATAAACCGGCGGCCAACTAGCTCAGAAGCAACAAATCCCACATGGAAGAAGCACAACAGCATGCGTGACCATGAGTTTTTGAAGGGATCAGGTATCAAGCATCAAAGAACAAAAAATATCATTGTAAAGGTGGGTGAGTGCAGAGTGGAGACTCAAAGTCCTTCGATAGGCAACTGGACACCCCCTCGCTGAAGGGTTGAGAGGAGGAGACGAGCCAATCAGGGTGCAGGGTAGCAACGATGAAACATATAACTTTCCTCTAGTTCTTAAATGCTTCCTCCCTGCTCCCCCCACTATCATGATCCCAATTCTACCTTACAAATCTGGCTAGACCAGAGGATGCACATTGGTACAGATAGCAACTGGAAACACAGGGAATCCAGGACAGATGACCCCTTCAGGACCAGTGGTGAGAGCGGCGAGGCATGGAGGGTGGAGGGAATGTGGGGTAGAAAGGAGGAACCAACTACAAGAATGTACGTATAGCCTCCTCCCTGGGGGATGGACAGCAGAGAAAGGGCGGGGGAGTCGTCAGACAGTGTAACATATGACAAAATAATAATAATTTGTGAATTATGAAGGGTTCATGAGGGAGGGGGGGAAGGGAGGGGGGAAAATGAGCAGCCGATATTGAGGGCTCAGGTGGAAGGCAAGTGTTTTGAGAATGATGATGGCAACAAATGTACATATGTGCTTGACCCAATGGATGTAGGTATGGATTGTGATGAGAATTGTACGAGCCCCCAATAAAATAATTTTTTAAAAAGATGGTGCCCATGCTGACATGCTCGGCTTCTCACCCAGAGGTTGGGAGTTCAAGTCTACCCAGAAGTTGCATTGGAAGACAGTCCTGGTTGATCTGCTTCTCAAGAACCGTTCATTGAAAACTCTTAGGAGCACAGTTCCACTTGGACAAATGGAGTGGGAGTCGACTCACCAGCCAACAGGTTTTGGTAAAATGAGATCGTTAGGAGTGGTGAAGGGGGCCTGCGGCATGCATGGCTAAGCACTCCACTGTGAATGGAAAGCTTGGTGGTTTGAGTCTACCCAACAGGTGCACCAGGAAAACACCCAGCGGCCTCTTTCTGTGTGGGTCAGAGCGCCAAAACAGCCGGGGGCTGCTCTCATTGAACTCACGAACTCACGGGTCACACGGGCTCCTCGGCTCAAAAGAGGTCGTTAGAATAAGGTTGTAGAGTTGCAAGACTGTCTACAGTCACCTCAAACTCTGGGGAAGGAAAGTCCCGGGCAGATATGTGAGCCACCTTCCTGTTTGAAATGGGTCATATTTCATGATTTTATTTTGATAAAATCATGAAATCTGATAAGAAGCCTGGAGCCTCCCTCTGCAAGAAGCCGTGAGCAATGGAGCTCAAATATAGGCAGTGTTACGCTTTTCAGCAAAGGACAAACAAACATGCTGTCCAGGTTAGGCAGATGATTTTATTTGGCAATATACGTCATTCACTGAACATATTATAAATAGGTGCGACATACAATGCCCTTCGCCTATCTTTAAATCCGTACTAAAAAATGAATTCAGGAGCTGACTCGTTAACCAGCAGCCTTGACTCTCTTGCCCCTGTGCATGCTGGGACACTCAAGCATGCCGCCAGGCCATGCCCAGAAAGCTCGGCACCAGCCCTGAATTCCTGAGAGCCACAGTGCCTGCCTGGGAAGCCACACCTTTATAGTATCTCAAATATTTGGTGGGAGGGAGGGGAGGGCGGGAATTTTATAACAGGTTTTAAGAGTGTTTTCAGAAAGGTAAAGGTCAAACCCCCAAAACTGGCATGTCATTGAAAACTGACTGCACAGTGGATGGAGGTAGAACGCCTTCATCCAGAGCACCAAGTTCCAACAGACAGAATACTCCCCAAGATGGGAGATCTTTAGAAGTCTGTGACAGAGGAGGGTCCATTCACACTTCCCATTGGGATTTTATCCCAGCATACTTTCAGATGTCTCTAGACCCCACTGCCATCGAGTTGATTCCAACTCAGAAAGATCCCTGATAGGGCAGAGCAGAACTGCTCCCTAGGGCTTCTGAGACTGTACATCTTTACAGGAGCAGACAGCCTCGTTTGCTTCCTTTGGAGCGGCTGGTGGGTTTGAACCACAGACCACATGGTTGGCCGCCCAATGCTTAGCTCACAATGCCACCAGGGCTCCTTAGAACATGTGTGTAAGTGAGATTTATCATTCATTTCCTTAAATGCTCTCTTCCTTCTTATGTGACTAGGGGTCGACACTCTGAACTCTGGGATCAAATTCTCCCTAGGTTTTGGCACAAAACAGGGACCCAAGTGCTTGTCTAAGTCAAGCCATCCCTCCTCTTATCCAGCTTCTGCCCCTCCGTGGATGCCCCCGGACTACTGCTGTGTGGATGGGTGACTTGAGGTGGATTCTGACCACAGCCACCCCCACGTGTTTCAGAGTAGAACTGTCCCAGAGGGTCTTTTTGCTTGGAATCGTTACTGCAGTAGACTACCAGGTCCCTCCCACTCCTTACCCCGAACCCCCCATAGAGCTGCTGCAGGGGTTCAAACTGCCCAAATATTGATTTACAGTCAAGAGTTTGACCTTTGTGCCCAGGAGGGTGCTATAGTAGGTCAAATTTACTGTGGATTTTAAGTAAATACAGGTGACTGTGGAAATAAGATTCAACCGCCGTATCAATTGGCCAGAGGGAAGAGGTAGCATCTGTCTCATGTGTGTGGCTCTTTTTAAGCAGCTAATGCCCAACATGAAAAAAGCATGGCTTTAAAAAAATACCGAATGAAGGAAGGAGAGTTTCATCCTGGGTTGACATAGTCTTGGGCAGTTTGAAATGTATCGAGAAAAATGAACACTGGCCGGTGATTGACAAAGCAATAGGCCTTCTGAAAGGTGGGAGGTGATGAAAATGGCCGACAGAACCCTAAGGAACAGAGAGGGAATTACGGTGCTGTAGATCACACGGGGAGATGAACCTGACCTTTCTCCACCCAAAATTCCTATCACTGTCCCATCTCTGGCTGCTTACTTCCCCTGTGACTACAGGTTAAAAAGGAAAATACATCCTGAAAATGTTCAGCTCCTTTTCCCTGGAGAGCTGCCAGTAAAGAGACAGCCTCTCAATTCCATTCTTTCGAATGGAAGAAACAAAAACAAACAGATAAACCCCACAGGTGACAGACAGTGTGATTTGATACTTGTGGTAGTTACATAATCTATTTTCAATTTGAGATTTACAAATGAAGGGGTGGTGGAGATTGGCCTGTCAATCAGGTCACAGCTTGATGACCTCATTTGGAGGTGCTAAGGAGATAAATAGCTCACAGGAGGCGGACACGCTCACTACCAGAGAGACGTTCTTGTTGACAAGCCACACGGAGAAAGAAAGGCTGATGGCAGTCAGAGCCTCGGAGCTGAAGGAACCATGTGGAGACCCTAGCCAACGCTGAGGTGCTTCCACCGCCACTGGATCCACAAGACCTTCCACCTACTGGCCTGTGATCTTCCTGCATTTGGTGTCATTGCATGTGTTGCGTGAGTCTGAAGAGGAATCTATAGACTGTTACCGGATATGGGTTAATATTGGACTTAATGGCTTGGACTGAACTGGGCTGGGATGTTTTCTCAATATTCAATTGCTCTTCTATATAAACCTCTTTCTTATACACATATGAGTGTCTATGAATTTGTTTCTCTAGTCTATCCGGACTAACACACGTCTCAAATGGAATCTCTCCTAGGGATTTCCTGACAGGACACGTATAAAAGCCTTTCAGAAAAGTCACCTCCTTTACTCTCTGGAGAAGCAGCAGACTCTAGACTCAGACCCCACAGATGTAAATCCAGCAGTGGATTCATCTTCATTCCCCTGTAGACGGTTGACATCAGGGGTCAGGAACATCACCGCCAATTATCACATGCCTCACCCAAGAGAAGCACCAGCCATCACATGAAGCTCACAGCCATCAAGTTGATTCTGACTCACCGTGCCGCTCCAGATCACAGGAAAACACCGGGGGTGGCTTAATTCCATGTTTGTCCAGTCTGGCCCTCGACGGATGTAAGAATGATCCGATTGGGCCGTGGCAGACAAAGACTCCCCAACCCCCTGGGTCATGTGCACAGATGGTCACCAAGAGTTGGGAAACTCAATGGGACGCCACAGGCATCTGAAGTGTTAAGAGGTCAGCTCCCATCACTAGATCATCAGAGAATTCAGTACACAGAAAGGAGATGGAGTTGCTAAGAAACAAACAGATTGCTAAGAAACAAGTATGTTCCAGTTGCTTTCCTCATCTGAGTTTGGGCCAGGCCACCATCGACACGACCAACCAGGCCCTGGGGGGTGGGAGGGAGTGGGGACAGTGGAGTTCACTAACAAGTGTTGTCAAGTCCAGGGGCAGCGATAAAGAGGAAGGCCATCAAGGAGATGGAATGACACCGCAGCTGCCACAATGGCTCAAGCATAGGGACCGTTGTGGGATGGCCGGTGCTGGTGCTGGACAGGGCGGTGTTTCTTTCGGTTGAGCATCAGGCTGCTGTGGGCTGGACCCGAGCTCATGGCACCTAGCAACCCCCAAGCCCACCACCGGGTGGCGGGACTGCCCACCCGAGTTCTGCCAGCATTGCACACCCTACTTGAAGGTGTGACTTCCTTGTGGCCCTCCGGCAGATCTTTCTGCACAAGCCGAACAATCCAAGGTTGGACTGCCCCCCCCAACCCCCCCCAAGAACATGCTTCTCTTTACCTTTCTTTGATTGACATGGTTTTGCTGGGCGAGTCCAGAGGGCCCTCTGTCATCGGCGCTCTGATCTCTCCGGCAGCAAACATGGCACAGGGACTTTTGTAGAGCTGCTCCGGTCCATGTTCTGCAGACTCCTGCTGCTTCCAGGAGGCTGGGCTTGCCGCTGGAACGACAGCCTTCCCGGCCTCTGTGCCAGTCTGCTCGCCCAGTTCCGCTGTGGACCCAGAGGAGCAGCATCAGCAGGGACTCCTCCAGCGAGCATTCCTGCCGCTGTTAACCCCTAGTGGTCAAGCCCTGGGAGCTCAGTCTCAGAGCTCACCCATCCCTTTGGGCTTATGCAAATCTACAGCGCTGTGAGGAGGCCAGGCGTCTCTGTGGGTGACCGCCCGCCCTCCGCAGAGCACATCAGGACAATGGGCCTTTCTCCCGTGCAAGGCACAGGAAGTTGGTTTCAACTGTCAACTGCGGAATGCCCCCCCAGAGGCGACTTGCACATTTCAAGCGCGCCACCCTCACCCTCACATGTGAAAACCCTTCCTGTAACTTCAGACAGTCTCGCTGATGGCCACGAACGAGAGAGGGGATTCAAGTCCCGTGCACACTTGTCAGAATGCAAAAACAAACAAACAAACAAACAAAAAACCCCAAACAAAACAAAACAAAACAAAAACCAGGAGTGTAGCAAGAAAGAGGCCGGAAACCACGCCTGTGGGACCGAGCCGTTAAGTCCTTAGCCCCTTTGCTAAGCCCCAAGCCCGGGGCCTTCTGTGTCCAGGAGCTAATTAAAGGGCCACATAGAAGGGGCTGCTCCCAACTGTGCTGTGAGGGCACACCATCCACCAGCCCATGGACCAAAACCCCTTTTTGGAGGTCAAAGGAACTCCGGGTATTGTTTTCCCTGCAGGGAAACAGGTGAAGCCACCGGCAAGGTCAAGGGAAGGGTGAAGAGTGCTGTGGGAGCAGGCGCCCTTGCTCCATAGAGCCTTGGCACCAGTCAGGCTCATCCACAGCCTCTACCGCGTCTTAGCGCATGAGCAACCAGCCAAACAGACACAGGACACCTGACCCTGGCTTCGAAAACGTTGAGGGCAGTCCCGATGGGCCTTACCTCTCAGAGAAAACCTGCTTCTCATCACACTCTCCACCAGCTCCATTCTCTCCTCGAAGGGCAGCCCGTCCTTCATGCCCGGGGTCCCCAGTGCCGGGCTTTGGGGCGTGGACAGGTCCTTCAGCTCAACCCCGGGAGGGTTCACCGGCTCCAGGCTGCCTTTTCTGGGGGCTGCACACTTAGCCTCTCCCTCTCTGGCCCGGTGAAGCGCAGCGTAGGGGCTTTCTGCTTCCTCTAAGGGCTCATACATTTTAGCCCAACTGTTCCTATCGGCCGAGACCTGCTTGCTTCCAGCCTCCGAGTCTCTTGACAACGTTCCTTTGCTCCCACCATCCATCCTTTGCTCCCCTGGGGGTTTCAGAATGCTTCTGACTGGGGCCTCTGTGCTGTCCTTCGAGGGAGGGAGCTGGACGTCGGTGGCCCTTGCACTGTCGTCCACAGGTGGCCTGGCCCGCAGATCCCCAGCATACATTGGGGTGACGGAAGGTGCCACGGTGGATACAGACGTGTTGACGGTGGGTGCAAAAGGAATGAGCTTGCCGCTCTGGACCTGGAGAGGAGGGACACAACACCAACACACACACACACACACACACACACACACACACACACACACACTTCAGAAGGACAATGATTTCAAAAACCTTGTAGCAACAGGGTTGCTTTATATTGGTAGACTGACAGGCTGCATGCTGCGCCGGGCAGAATCCTACTGCTTAGCTTCCTGGTAATCCCTTACCGTGTACAGTTATATAAAGTATCTATCTCATTGAAAGCCATCTCCTAAGCCCGGAGCAAGTTGCGGATACAAACTCTTGCAAATGGACTTACTCTCGATGATGTCTACAAGCGGCTTATGCAAAGGAGGACAGACACACCTAGCAAGATCGCCTTGCACAGGCATTCAGTTATTACCAACTCACCCACAGGAACAGCCGTCAGCGGTAAGCTGCCTTAAACCCCTGCCACTGACCTGACGGTGGCTCTGGGCGCCTGTGTTCGCAGAGCCGACCGGCACAGGCCTGATACCAGCGTACCCACCTGTTCCACCTCTCCGAGCGTCACCGGCTGCGTCTGGAAACGCGCATTCATCCTCCTCTGCCTCACGTCTAGTCTGTTTCTGGTGGAAATAGCTTTGGACACAGGCTGGGCGAGTTGGTTAAATAAGGCCAGCTTCTCTGCGAGGCTGAGCGTGGAGGAATCAGGTTCGCCTGGTTCAGCAGCATCTCTGCCCTCGTTTGGCTGGTCCCTAGCTAATGCCTTCTGGTGAGCGGATGCCTGTAACCTGAAAGTAAGACAGAGTCACCAGTACGTAGAGAGACGAAGAAGGCTCCACCGCCAACCGTGTCCACGAATGCATTGTTGACGTGTCAAGGGTCCACCCTGGCAAAGGGGCTTCGGGTCCCTTCCTAAATTAGGCCCAGGCACTTATCACTGCCTATCAAACGAGACTGGGCAGTAGCATCCTCAATGGTAGAAAGAGCAGACTTTTCACTCTGAATCATTTCTAAGAAGTGGGTTTCCCATCTAAGGAACTGAAATGATGCTTGGGTACAGCTGTCTTACTTAGAGCAAGAAGCTGTATGGCTAAGTCAGGCTAACAGGCATCCTGAGGCAGTCCCTAAGGCGCTGAGACATGAGTGAGGAGTTTCAAAAAGTGGTCTCTTTAAATAGCTAGGAAACAGCACAGTCATTTTTTGTCAACACTTATCTGCCTTACAGGGTTTTTTTTTTTTGGCTTTCCCATGCTAGACAGGAGTGACCTAATTAAAAAAAAAAGTATTTCACTGCTTTACCTGGCTCTCAAAGGCACTCAGGCTTCTGAAACGGACTTAAATGTAAACTTTCCCGTATCTTGAAAACAGAAGCCGGCCCCCTCACCCCTCACCCCACCCCCCTCCCACTGGAGGAGGAAGTTTATTTGTATGGGTTCTTGGTCTCTTGAGAGCTTTTCCAGACCATCTATTATTTTGGTAGTATATTTTTCCTGGCCAAAGCCAATTCTCAAATCAGGTGTGCCGGAGAATCTGAAGTGGGTTATGCCCTGTACCCCCTGAATGACCAATTCACACGTTGCTCAAGACAAAAGAGCAGTTATCTGGGCTGCAGGTGCACACAGAGGCAGTTAAGAAAAGTAACCCGAGCTTCAAAGTCTATCCTGAGGTGCTGCACACTCCGAGGGCAGCCGTAGCCTACTTCCCAGAGACGCGGAGCCCTGCACTAGCCGTATTTCCTGGTGGCCCTTGGCTTCTCTTACCCTTCGGGGATTAGTCCCAAAGAGTTAGATAAAGGTGGGGGTAAGGGGTAAGTTGTCATCTGCATGCTTTAAGGACACAATGTCCAAACACCACACATTTACAACATCTGCATTCAGACACTAAAGTATTTTCCCCATCCTGAAACATAACAGCGCTGTCGCCCTAGGGAGGGTGGTTTTCAGTGTCTCTCTTGGTCTGCGTGTGTTCCCCACACCTCAGCATCCGTGTTAGCTCCCCAACTGCTCAGTTAATCTGCATTAGGCGCTAGTACTGCAGGTGAAGCATGAGGTGGCTTAGGGATGACCGCTGTGATGAACAGACACAAGACAAGGCGGGTCAGGGCGAGCACACACGGTGGATGGAGAGACAAGAGGTGGTCTCATGCAGGTTTTACATTCTGACTAAAGCAGATGCGGCACGTGCGGGAACCTCTCACGGCAGGGGCTCATGAGCCGGACAACAGCAGGCATTGGAGACGACAAGATGCGCGGTTGTCTGGCACCTCTGCACCTGGTGCCACATGCGGCTACTTCTGTCCAGTACCTGGTGGGCTGCACAGTGCTCTTAGCTAGAGTGGAACTAGGAAGTCCTGCCATGACAGGGTGTGTGGCCACAGAGCAGGAAGCAGGGATGGGTTCGCTTTGAAAGCCATTGCCAAATAAGGAACATTCATAGGGAGAGAGAGAGAGAGAGAGAGAGAGAGAGAGAGAGAAGACGAAGAAGCATTAAGGAAAGCATTTTAAATCTGGAAAAGCGAAATCAAATACTTCAACACATTTATTTGCTAAGTACTTTGAGGAGGAGGGGGAAAAATCACAACAGAGGTTGAAAAGCAATTCTAAATGTAAGAAACCAAGAGAACAGAATAGGGTTTTCAGCTGGGAAAAGGTTTGCAGCTTTACAAGCGGGTTTCAAAAAGTTCATGGAAAAAAAAATCAAGAGCGAGGCTGATGGACTTTTCTCATGAACTTTTTGAAGCCTTGTATATTTAAGTACATGTGTCTTGGTTTGGAAAATTAATACAAGAGCAAACACAAACTAATATTAACCATCAAGTAAAAATAAGTAGCTCGTATCCAGGTTTTTAGAATACTGTTCTCCACTTCTTATTTTTAACAACCAGCGTCGTTTTGTGATAAACACACATCGCAGTGGGTCCCTTGAGCCTTGCGGGGTGATCGTTTGTGCCTGGTTACGGTTTGGGGCCTTCTGCTAGTTGGTGCTGCTTTGTAACCAAATCCCAAACCAAATTCACTGCCACTGAGTCAATTCCCATTCAGAGCAACCCTACAGGACAGGGCAGAACTGATTCTGTGGGTTTCTGAGACTGTCTCTTTATGGAAGTAGAAAGCCTCTTCTTTCTCTCAAGGAGCAGCTGGCGGTTTTGAACTGCTGACCTTGCCGTTAGCAGCCCAAGGCAGAACCTGCTATGCCACCAGAGCTCCATAGCAGCCACCCATACAAATGATGTTTTGTAAAAAGCCAGTCTGGCTTCCTAAGAGTTCCAAATAAGCACAAGAACTTATTTCTTCACAAACACACCAGGAAGCTGAGAAACAGCTGGCGGCCGGAGTGAAGCTGGTTGGCTTCACAGCAGGCTCACAGACACACACTTGGACAGAGGCCTCTCAGGTCTTCAGTGTCTGGAGTGAATGAACTTTACTTTCTTCAGGAAAAATGAGTGTGTGTGTGTGTGTGTGTGTGAATTTAGCTCCAAGCTCACTGCTATTACGTCAAGGCTGACTCATAGCGACCCTGCAGGACAGGGTAGAACTGCCCCTGTGCGTACCTGAGACTGTAACTCTTTACAGGAGTAGAAAGCCTCATCTTTCTCCCAAGGAGCGGTTGGTAGTTTCAAACTACTGACCTTGCTGCTAGCAGCCCAACACGTAACCACTACGCAAGGAGGGCTCCTCCGAATGCACCGGCCAAGCAAATAAAAGTAAAACAGAATTCGCTTTTCAGGTTTCTCTAGGCGCTACAACGGGTGTGTGGTTGTTAGCTGCTGTTGAGTTGATCCCACTCTCGGGGTCCCCATGGGTTCCAGAATAGAGCGACTCCCTGTTGTCTCCTGGGCTGCCCTCCTGGTGAGAAGCCGAACCCGCCATCTCTCATGGAATCACAGGGCAGGGTTCACTCACCAACCTTCAGTTGAGCAGCAGGTAGCACAAGCCTGGAGCTGCCTGGGTGCCCCAGGGGATCCGAGGGCAACAAATCCAGTGACAATGCTGAGAAAGGTGGTGGCCTGGACACTCCCTGAGGACTGAGGTCCCGGGCACTTCTGGGGGAGCCATCTCACTGGCCACCTTGCGCATTTTGTTTTTAAATTTAAAAGTCCTGGGTGACATGGGCCCAGGCCAAGCCACTCCCGGGCAGACTCACGTGGCGGCGATGACCACCTCCTCGGTGGTGACGGGCTGTGTGTGGGACCTGTCCTGCAGCCGCCGGAGCCTCTGTTCCACCGCCAAGTTTCTTGAGCGCCGCTTAGGAATGATTTTCTCGTCGAACGACTTTTCCATTTCCTAAGAGTTGGAGACACCGGGAGCCCTATTAACCCCAGGGAAGGTAATGGGGTAGCCCCGTGTCTCGACTCTGTTCTCCTACAGGAGGGGACAGACTGAGAGGCATGCATCCCCATGAGAAATGTTTGCTGGATGTGTCCAAGCCGGAGAGGGAGGGAGAAAAGGGCACCATCACATGGATCAGACTGACTGCAGAGCCCCCTGAAGTGGCCAGAGGCATGGGAAGCAGGGTGGTGAAGCAGGGTCACCCTGTTATACCCCAACTCCTATTTTGGGGGACAGCTCACCCTGAAAAGAAGCCTCTTGGCGGCCACACTCAACTTGGCTCGTTCATCAACCGTTTCTTCACCTGCAAGACACCGCAAAAGAAAGGCCGGGCCGAGTTAGAAAATGTAAGGGAAGCCCCTGAGAAGTCGCTCAAGGCTGGCAGGAAACCCTGGGCAAACTAGGGAGGGGGCTCTCAAGAGGGCCATTGGCACTATCCCTACCTTGGGCAGGGCCCACTGTACCTGTTTAGTGAAGAGGTGCTGATTTCCACTCAACCCAAGCCAAACCCAACCCAGCCCTGCCATGGCACAAAGAGTCTCCTGCAATGCTCGACTCACTAAGAGCAGGGAAGAGGTTCTACAGGAAAAACCAGCAAACAAAAGTCCTCCTCATCCGGTCACATGCCCATCGGTGCCCAGTCGAGGCATTGTCACTTCTACGGATGCAAACTGCCACATCTTTCTCCCACAGAATGGCTACTGGGTTTGAACCACTGACCTTGCAGTGAGAAGCTGAGCAGTTAACCACTCTGCCCCCCTCCATCCGCCCCCCCACCCCGGCTTCTTCATACACCATACTCTACACTTCCTCTATGGCTAAATGCCAGCAGGGCTGCGACCCTACTGCGCCAGGGTCTAAATTTAACAGTGCTCAGCCACGGTTCTCCAACTCTGGAACATGCTTCTCTGAAGACCTCCACTAGATTTTCTTGTATTCCCAGAAAGGCAGGCCTGCAGAAAGGTGAGGGATGTCTCTGTTCCATCAGCGTTATTTTCTCAAAAGGCCCAAATCCTAATCCTACTCTGGGTGGGGAGGACAAGGAGGAAGAAGAAGAACAATGAAAATATACTTGCCCTCAGCAGTTGGCATTTCTGAATTTGGAGTAGATCTGGGGAAGACATTAGCACACAACAGTAATAATGCATTAGCTGGTGTGAGTAGAAGGTCCCCATCCGACATCATCATTTGTAAAGTCAACATTCAGATGCAACAGACACGCTCTTAGACACGGTCATCCTGGGGGTGGGTTCCAGTGAGGGCCGATGCAGTGGAGCTCGTGTGTGTGTGCAGGAGCTCAGCCAAACACATAACTCGTGGAGGAAAACTAAAGCTATGGGTGATTTATATATTGAACAGGACAGGTGACAGCTTTTCAGACAGCCCTGGTCATTCCTATGTAATAAATGAGAGACAAACTCACTGCCATCAAGTTGATTCTGACTCACAGTGACCCGACAGGACAGGGTAGAACCGACCCATGGGTTTTCTGAGACTGTAACTCTTTATGGGAGTAGACAGCCTTGTCTTTCTTCTAAGGAGCGACTGGTGGTTTTGAACTGCTGGCCTTGTGGTTTGCAGCCCAATGTGTAGGGCTCCTTTGCTATGCAACAGAATGTCATAATTTAATATCAAAACTCAGATAAAACAAATAAGCAGATATTTATTTTAAGTATGGAGACAAAATGCTTTGGTCGACATCACTATAAAATCTGGTGAATATATAATTTGGATCCTCATGTGACAGGGCATTAGAGTATTAAAAATATAAAAGCCCTGGTCAAATATTAAATGAAGACAACTCAGATTTCTTCCATCTTAAACCATTACAATACAATAATGAATGCCTTTCCACATCACCTAAATATGATTCAGAACTGCATAATGTGAGACCACTGTAAAGGGCAAGCCTTCTTTAAAAGTACCCTTAAATCAGCCCGATAAATATCCCTTATTGAAGAGCCAAAGAATTGAAGAATCACCAACATCCTATGTCAACAGCATCGGCTCTACCGCTTCAGTAAAACCCCCTCCGTCATCTCTCTTATGTTCCTAGACCTGCGGAACTAACTACACATACACGTGCCTACCTATCCGACTCCTTTCGTTCTGCGGAGGTTACGGGTTGAGTTCTAAATCTCTCCGAAGTCTTTCTACTTTCACCAGGAGAGAAATAGCGTCTTGGTTTCCGGGACCCTCTCTCCCATTCGAGATTGGTGGGGGAGCCAACTCCTTTGGCTGACCTCTCAGCCCGTGGATGGCTTTTCGAATCATGGGGTGGAGAGTACATGGGAGAGAAACAGGAGGACAGAGAGACGTGGGGAGGGGGGGTGGTAGAGAGAGAGACAGACAGACAGACAGGGAGAGAATAAGGCACATATTTATGCATCACGATGAGTGAAAACAGAGTGCTGCTAGATCCTTCTGCATGCCTCTACCATGCACAAAAGGAGGGAACGCATCCCAGGGACCCAGCACTCGACAACCCTGTTAGTAGGCAGAAGCACGATGCTAGTTCTGGAGCCATGTCCTTGTGCCGTCTGCCCTGCACACACTTGTGAGCTAAGCTAACAGCATCTGACCCAGGATGTGACACACGCTGGGTAGTGGCTCTGTCAACGGCGTGCAAGTGACACAAGGGGAGTGCGTGGCCAACATCACCTACAGGTCGGGTTTCTTGCTGGCCTTGGCCGACTCCAGAAACGCACTTCGGAGCTGGGCGACAGAGACCTTGGTGTCTACCATGCCCACCTCTGCACAGGGCCCTTCGGCTTCCGAACTCTCTGGCCTGGATTCCCGCTTGAAAACGGGGTCCTTGGACTTTGAGGCTGGGAGCTGAGGGGGGCCGGTGTAATCAGAGAAGGAGCGGGTGAGGACCTTGCGCTTCCTGCTGGAAACTTCCTTCTTAGGCTCTGCCACGCCGGTGTCTCCGGATGCAGGCTCAGGCTGAAGACAGGACACCATCTCCGCCCTGCCCATTCTCTGGGGGGGCTGCTCCTGGCCTCTCGGTGGCTGTGGTAGGTGCTCTGGCTGCTCCTTCTGATGCCCCAAGGTGAGTGTGCTAATAATAGTTGGCTCACCAAAGCCCTCCTCTCCTTGGCTTCTCAGGAGTCCCGGATCCTCCAAAGGCAAAAGTGGTTTCCTGCTCTTCCCGGGAGCGTCTACGAAGTACTCCTCCTCTTCTGCTTTTGGCTCATAAATGTGGAGAACCGGGGTATCCCTTCTCTCACTTTCGGGGACCTTTGGAGGGGATGGTTTTATTACACACGGTGGGGCTGGTTCCACCCAGCTGCACTCCAAGATCCTCTCAGGGTTTACAGTGGTCACCAGCTTGGCGGTGTGGATGGGATCCGCTGGTTGCATGGAGCCACGGATCAGTTGGCGGGCCGCGCCAACAGCCTTGCTCGGAACCCTATCGAAAGCGGAGTTTTCGGAGGGGAAGGGCAGGTAGCGCCGGGGCATCTTCTGATGGCTCCTCTGAGTCTGAGGCTCTGAGGCCAGTTCCGGGCTGCTGCGGGCACTCTCTTCCTTCACCAACTTCTCTCTAACCTTTACTCTTTAGGAAAGAAAAAGGGGGGGCCGTTGGGAAGCGCGGGTCACTGCTCAAGGGAAAGAAAGCATGCGTGGTCACAGATAAACATGGGAGAACAACTTTTAAGTATATATATATATATTTGGAGGGGGGGTAGCGTTTAATGTTAGGAAAGCACTGCTTGAACCAGATGAGCGATTTTGAACTGAGTTTTCTAATCTGCCTACGCGTGCCAGTGTGACAGAGAAGCTACCCTCTTCTCACCCACTGAACACCCAGGAGGAAGCCAGGCGAACCTCCTGACTGGGCACCATCAGGGTGCACCTGGGCAGGCAGAGGCTGGGGCCGGGGAATGCTCCCCTTCCAGGCCTGTACAAGGAGCTCAATCTGCTATAACCCCAACTGCACCACGTCATTGTCTCCTGGAAGTGTCAGAGCATTCGGGAGCACTTCACGATCAATCAGCATCTCTCTTTGGCTGACCGACGACCCGTCAGCCTTTGCAGGCTGTTCACAAGGCCTTGTCCCCCTCACAAGGCACAGCTGGCCAGTTTGTCTAGCATCACCCCTGACCACAAGAAAAGGGCATTGTGAAAAGAACAAACGCACTGAAGGTGCCCCCTCCCCCAGCCCTTGCCAAGAGCTGTTCTTGGGGTCTTCCTGAAAAAAACGGAATGTAAGAAGAAATTGTTCGGGTTGTCTTTAAAGCTATTTAAGTACAGGAGAGGAGAGAGAAAACCTCTTCAAAAGCGACAGGCCATTCTCCATTACCACAGAGACAAAGTAGCCGAGAGGCTGGGCTGTGGGGTCCTCAAGAGAACGCCTCAATCCTGGCTCTCAGGAGGCTGGCTCTGTGGCCTCGGGCAACTCAGTGGCCCTCCTTGGACCTGCAGTTTTCAGTTATCTTTGCAGTGGAAATGACGGTTGCATGTGTAGAGAGAAGCTGCAAAGCACTTGGCCTAGTGCTTGAGGAAGAGGGGTGAAACGTGTGCTCATGTGAGCTCATGCTCAGCTTTACTTTTGGAAACGCAGGAGTCTGCGAATGGCTAATGGATGGAGACCACCTTTCAAAAAGTCCAGAATGCTTCCGGAGTGAGGAAGGTGATTCCTGGGAGAACGTGAAACCATTAAGATTAGTCACCAAATACTAACCGCCGCTGACATACGAAGGGGGAACGCTTTAAAAGGTCTGTGGAAAATGGAATGATCCTTTAATTCCATGTTTCCACGACCTTTCGGAAGCCCCTTTGCACACGTTATGGAAGAGAAGCTTCTCTTTCCTGACATGCACACCCTGATACATTTGATGACGATGTCTGCTTAATTCTTAACTACCTGTTTTTCAACATAAGGTGCAGAATATCTGGGTTTCTGTAGTTAAAGAAAAAACCCAAGCTTGCACATAAAAAGCAGTTATTATGAACAATCACGTGGTGCGGGGTGGGGCGCAGGGTAGCATTCTGTGCGGTTATTTTTCCTAGCGACTAGCCAGGGTTGAGGTTCTCATCCTCCTAACCTTTGCAAATCAGAAGAAGCCTGAAACGTGGTTCCGGTTCTCCTGTGGAATGTGTGCTTCTAACCAAGACAATCGGAATTCTGTCCTCAGTGGGGAACAAAGTGACTGTGAAGAAACTCACTACATGGGTGCTTTGTCCTGCCCACGACTCACTCAGGGCTTACTCTGGCTGTCTCTCCCTGCCCCCAACCTTAAAGATGGAATGATAGGGGGGTTTGTCCGCTTTCAAAGCCACATACCTTAAGTTTAACTGTTGAAAGCGCACTGCTGGCTTGGAGACGAGGAGAAGCAAGGATGAGGAGAGAGAAGTCGGCAGTGCGGGAGGAGGGACAAACAGAGGAGACGGAAGCCCAGGCTGGTTAGTGGGACGGGGGAAACCAGGCAGTGTGGGTGTGTGTTTCATCCCTGCCCAACTGGCGAGGTGTAGACGAGTGGGTGAGGAAAGGGAACGGGAGGCGGCGTAGGGCAAAGGTTACCCGAAGGAGGAGGAGCCGCAGAGATTAAGACAATCGAAGGGGAAAGCAAACAACTAGGAAGTAGCTGCCTCCTTTGGAACACAAGCTTCTCCAACGCCCCGCTGTGGGAGACGGCGAGGGGAGTGGCGAGGGAGTGTTAGCTCAGGTGTGGGAAGGGCCAGGCAAATCAAGGGCTAGGTCAAGCGTCTGCGACCAGCAGCCAGAGGTTCAACCTCAGATATACCTGGAAGGCCAGTTGATAAGCGAAGGTGTGTCCCCTTCGGAATCTTTCTGGAGAAACCACTCATGTTTGGGTTTCCCGACACTACCGTGTACAAAAAAAGAAAAGAAAAATCATGTAATTTCCTCTGAACATGTCAACATATACACAGACTTTATTCAAAGCAAAGACCTGGCAGAGGCTGATTTCTGTCAAGAAAAGAATACGTTCTGTGGCAGTCGAAGGTGTACATAAACCGGTCATGCCAGGGGTGTGTCATCATTCGAAGGGATTCCCATGGCCTTTGGACTCTGTTCGCTACTGAAATTAGGAGACAGAAATAAATGCGCGGGCAGTCCCTGCACACGATGTTGGACGAGTCATTGGAGGCACTGGGAAGGCGAATCCGTTCATCACACGCCGGCCCCCAGATAACAGACCTCTCTCGTGCTTAAGAAATTGGATTAAAACCACAAGGCAGCTTAACGTGCACGTGTTTCGGTGGGGTACTTCGCATGCCGAGTATCAAAGTAATGTTCATGAAAAACAACCGGCATTAAAGACAGGGACGGCCTCAAAGGAAACGGAACCTGGGCCTATCTTTCATCTGACACTGTGCTTGCCTTCAAGTCATGCCCAACCAGGCCAACTCCACATATGCAGAGAGGTGGGTTCTGCTGGGCCGGGGCCTTTCGGCAGCAGGTCACCAGGGGTGTCTTCCAAGGGGCCTCTGAGTGGGTTCGAACCACCAACCTTCCGGCTAGAAGTCGAGGACTCCTTTGCTACTAGACATTTCCCTTGACGATCCATGACCGAATAGTATAACCGGGTGAGTTCAGGCCCGTTGGGGACATGTGGATTGAGTTCCGACCAGAGCAACATCCCAAGCTCGGCTGGGAGGAGGAGCAAGGCTGACGCTGGGCCTCGGTAAGCTTACATCCCAGCAGGCAAGAAGACAAATGACCGGCCCACGTGTTCACGCCTAATGCACAAACTCACACATGTAGGGTTGACCGAGGCAAAGCCAGGAGGCCAGGATTAAGGGATCTTGGAGAAAAGTTTAGACACAGAAGGAGCATCCACGGTAACTGCAACCCCAAGTACAAACCAGCATGTCGACAGCTCTGGCAGGCTGATCCTGAAGAGAGGGCAGCTCTGGAACCCCCCTGGGGTCATTCTCCTCTCTCCCACACACTGGCCCTGAGCTGGGGTGGGCTAGACAACAGTGGGCCGGAGGTGGGGAGGGGAGTGTTGGCTCATTTGAAGTAAATCCAAAGTCCGCATGATGGACTTCCGAAGCCTCTCTGACAGGCTCAGCCATACCCACCCACCCCCGACACCCCGCTTCTGTGCCCCTCCCCCCCAGGTCCCTGTCATGCTGCTGACTGGGAACCACATCAGACACTCCAAGTGTGGCATCCACTCAGGGCCATTGTCATTGCTATTTCTGGCCAGGCCACTTTATCCTAATCATCGCATGGCTTGCTGGCTCAAGCGATGTGGGTCTCTGCGTGGGTTTCCCGCGGGAGACACCTGCTGTCGGGGACTGGCTGGTGTCTCCCAAAAAGCATGCGTTAGGATCCTACCGAGCCCTTCCACTTTGTGTCCCTGTGCGCCACAGAAGAAACACTGCACGGTCCCGCGCCATGCTCACAAGTCTTCCTCTGCCGAGCCCACTGTTACAGTCACTGTGTCCGTCCGTCTCATAGAGGCCCTTCCTCTTTGGGGCTGCCCTCCACGTTACCCAGCATGATGTCCTTCTCCAGGGACCGGTCACTCCCGACAACGTGTCCAAAGTGTGTGAGATGAAGTCTCACCATCCTTGCTTCTAAGCCACCACAGCATGACAAACACACAGACAAGGGGTGGCAATTACCTGTGGACCCTATAAACCTTAATGATGCGCTTCTTCTATCTTTCAAATGTTCATCCTTCAATCAGAGGAGTCGGGCAGCAAAAAAACAAGCTGGATAAGAAGAAACTGCCGGGGAGTGGGAAGCTGGGGGGAGGGGGGAGGACAGAGTGGACATCGTGGGTGAAAACCTGTCTCTATTCCACCCAAGCGACAGAGGAGGGATGCTGGGCTATGCATTCAGGGGAGAAATAACTGGAGAACAGGTAACCTGGGTTGCTTTCAGGGAGGAATCAACAGATGCTCAGAAGACCAAGGAAGTCTGTCAGGTAGACTAATCCCTACGCTGCCCCTCCTCTCCCTTTGCCCATCAAATCCCAAGGTAACATGATACCCAATCCACGAATCCCAAGTCTCGCTCCTGGGCACTTTGTAGGTTCCGCATGTTGCGACAGCTCAAATACCAACTGTGTGTTCCTCAGTAAAGCACTGTTGGTGGGTTGGCCAGGACCCATGAGTGATCATCCACCAGGGAAAATAACATTAGCACGCATGCCTGGTTTCTTTATGTTCCAACTGTTCATTACCAAAATTACCCAACCAACCCATTGGCGTTCAGGTAATGGCAACATTATAGTGACCACACACAGGGTTTCCCGAGACTCTGAGTCTTTACACAGACAGACAAATGCATCTTTCTTCATAGGAGTGGGTGGTGGGTTTGAACTACTGACCTTGTGGTTGGAAGTGCACTGCCTAACCCATAGTACTACCAGAGATCCTAGAGTATTCACTGAGAAATGAGGAATGAAAAACCAAGACTGTAAAAACTACCACGTAAACAGCAGCCATTTAAGACTGAGCTTGTTTTAGAATGTAAACAGAGTCAACACTAGCATTTCTCTTATGACGTAAGTTCTTTCACTAAATTCTTACATGACTTTTGTTGTTTGAAAAAATAAACCCTGAAAATATTCAAGGAATTTTATTTTACACATTCAAACAAACAAACAACTACAACTATAGCACAGATACGTAGATGCTAGGGTCTGATGGTGGGGGCGCGTGCTTGATTACAAGAAAAGGGGCACAGAGGGGAATTTGGGGCAGATGGAACAGTTTCTATCTTGAGTATGGTAATGACATGACTTTACGTATCTGTGAAAATTTACAGAACTATACACTGAGAGGGCAAATTTACCTCAAAGAGTAGTATCATTAAGACAAATAAGCCAATACAAAAAAACCCTAAGTCCTTTACAAATGAATCCAGCCCACCTTCAGAATCATAGGCATGGCGTTGTTAAGGGATTGACTGTATTTTCTTGCAAGTAACACATCCATACATGTAACACACACAGCACATGTAGCAAACTATTGTGCAAGGGAGTTGTGTGATTTGCAAAAAACTGTGTAATACATTATTCACCTGAAAAGAAGGACTTAGATGCTTAAACTATTTAATTGGATTTTTAAATGAAGTAATTGTTTTCCATATATATAAATAATATTGACCACAAACAGGCAGATAATCTATTTGGGATCTTATTTTTTTTCTTTGCTTCCTCTTTTTCCTCTCCCAAACCAAACACCCAGAGAGAAGCCTGAAGAGATGACATTGGTACAGAAGCCAAAAATCTTCCTTTTGAAAGCTGATTTAGACCATGCTTTGGGTCCCTCAAAATGGTGACTCCAACTACAGAGCTGGTCAGGTGAGGCACCCCCAAACGAAAAGGCCTAATGAAAGTTTTGGCCTGGGTCTCTCACCTAGGAGCAGAGGCCAATTGTAACGATGTGGGCTGGCAAAGGGATACCCAGGATAAATGATACATCATTTCATAAAGTACAGAAATGATTTCTGGGGCCCGGAAGGGCAATGGATTTGGAGAAGTTTAATAGCAAGCGATTTTTCTAAAATGCAAATAAAAAGAGGTAACATTTAGACCTTGCTTACATTTTTTTTTCTTGTTCTTATTCCTTAAAATCTTGCATGGATATTATTTTGTCTAGTGTTCATTAAACCTGTGCCTAATGACAGATGAATCATTAGGGTTCGGTTTTAAAAATTAACAGTGGGCGAGTCTGCTTTATATAACAGAACACATTGAATATATGATGCTGTCTGGCTACCTAAGCTACACTTAAAAAACAAACAAATAAAGAACCCAACCCAATGCTGTTGAGTGGACTTTGGTCATGGGTACTGCATGTGACAGAGTAGGCAGGCAGCACAGGGTTTTCCTGGCTGTCATCTTTATGCAAGGACATTGCCAACCTTTTCCTGTCCATGGCATTGTTGGGACATGGAAAGAGGGAGCGAATCAACCCTCAACAGCCAAGTGCAAATCTTTTGTGCTACCTGGGACCTTAAACCAGGTCCTTGCTAAGAAACTCAACGAGGCATGCTGGTGTAGACAGACGTAAGAAATGATGGTGATGTCTTGCATCCTGAAAATGGATTTTGAGGTGTGCTCCTCAAAGAGAGTTCTGCTCACTGGTCTTACTGGTCCGTGATTAGACAAAACAAACATGCAAACAAATCTTGCAACAGAGAATGATAATCAACAATAGCATGAAGTCTGCTGCTTAGCTCAGCTGGCAGCCCTGCCCCACCCAGCACGACTTTCTCCATGAAGGAAACAGCAGGGCATACTTCACATTCAGACTCACCTTCCTGACCAGTTGTGGATTGATCCTAAAATGCAGACTAGTGATTTCAAGCAGCGCTGTGAAAGTTTGTGCTAAATGCTGGGGAAGATAACCATGGCTGAGTCTCGGTCTCCACCCTTCCCTTAAGGATTCAAAACCAAACTCACTGCCATTGAGTCGGTGCTGACTCACAGTGACCCGACAGGACAGGGTAGAGCTGCCCCTGTGTGTTTATAAGGCAAAGGTTTTGAGCAGCTGACCTTGTGTTTCGCCACCCAATGCTTAACCACTACGCCACCAGGCTTCTACTAAGGAACACTGTTCTGGGCATCATCCTGCACAGTCTTCCCATTCTTATAATACGAAATGCACGGTGTCATGTCTGGGAGAATCCTGATACAGTTTTAAAAGTCTTCTGCCAAAAGGCTTGTTCTAGGAGGTTGGGCCTTTGAATATCCTTTATCCTACGACCCAAGAGCCAGGTGAAGCTGCTGCTGTGAGACAGTTCGTTTAGTTTATGGTCTCTTTCTCAAACTTTTCCCTTTGGGCAGCATCGCCACAAACCAGGAGCCAGACTGATAGCATTCGGGGTCCCTCTTGCCAA